ACAAACTTAAAAGCATACATTCATGGCATTTCTCTCTCATTCTTTTCATGGTCTTATGAATTTTTGGCAAATTTCTCTCAATGATTCACAATGTCTACATATAGATATTGTGCTAGATATTGTGAAGAAAAACTTACCAAAAACATATATATATATATATTACTATTCAAATAAAGAGTGGTATTCAACTTATTAATTTTTATGTGTAACCCCAAAATCTTTAGGGATTAAGACTTGGTTGTTGTTGTTGTATCTTGTAAGGAATAAATTGTATATTCGGTTTTGATGATGTTATGTAAATAGTAATCTAGAGTATCCCTTGATAGATAAAATGTACGATAGTACTTAGTATTTTTAGTTGTAAAATACAAGAGTTAGTCGACTGCCAGATTCGCGTGCAACTGTGCAAGTCCTCACTAGAGACAGAGACTCCCATGCTAATATGTAGGGAACAGATTTCGCCTTAGGCATATTCCCCTATTACCATAATCACCTGCATACTGAAAAGGCCTCACGCAGAATAACTCGAATCTTTAAATGTATTTTGTTAAACTAACAGACCAATAAGCTTACTTGGAGGGGTCTGTTAACGGAAGGACACACGAAGAAGCACATTAAAACAACATTTAATGCTATCTACCCGTGAAGATATTAATGATGCGTGTTGAATACACCGTGTCATTAAATATTAATGACACGGTCAAGTATTAGGTCCTTGTTTTCTACTACAAAATATATGGAAATGGAGCTCTAAGATGTATAGAGGAAGACTTTCATTGATAGATAAAATTTACAGAATGATGATTGAAACGTAGCGTAAAACTTCTTCTAGACTCTTTCTCTCTCAGGAATATTTGGCGCAGAGGAATAAACAAAGAGACATGTGTAAAACTATTCAATGCATTCCCTTAAAGACATATTTATAACCTAGGGAATCGATAAGTTTTACAATGATTGAGCCCTTATTTCAAGGTGGCTCATATATCCCCCTTTGCACCATTTATCTATTCTGAGCTATTTTATACTCTCTCCGTCCCTAAGTAGAAACATCTGTTTCCTTTTCGGGTCGTCCCTAAATAAAAGTTCTCTTTCCTTTTTTGGCAAACAAAACAGTGCAAAACAGTGTCAAACAGTGTCAAACAGTGCCAAACAGTACCAACCAAACTCACTTTCTTAAGATGTGTGTAAAATGAATGGATACTTTTATATAGGGACGGAGGTAGTACAATATTAAATACAACAAGAGGCTTATAATAATAAAAATTGATCACAACATAAATATCTCTAACATGAAGTCTACATGACATTCATTTAATGAAATTATCTTCTACACTCCAACGGGAAGACTACTGCGTTACTATCAGTATATAAGATACACTCAGAAGAGTGGATAAACCATATATGAACTTTAAAAGACATCTAGAGAATTCTTAAAAGCAAACAACTACATACTCTACACAAGAATTCAATCGAGAATTTGAAAGATTTAGAGCTCATATGTTTCACCCAACTCTCAACACAAATTCATCATCGTTCTTTAACCTACTCCGAAAGCTACATCTACATATCTTGTACGGAGACATTAGAGGAAAACTCTTTATTTTTTTACAAAAGATTACTTCTTGCAAATGAAGGGCGTCAAAGTAACTCGATTGAAGTGGTGATACTTCAAGGAGTTCGGTGAAACAGTCAGTCATCAGAAAGAAGAGTTGCATCGTGGGTGACCAGGATAATCACATTTGAAGAAGACGTGAAGAATTTCTTAAGTGGTAGGGAGTCTAGACGTTATAATTATTTTACTAGTGGAATAGTGGATTAGAGGAACATATCGTTCCTTAATCACTATAAAAATATTTAGTGTCATTTACTTGATTGATTTTGCGTTTCTGCGGTTAAGGCTAATCTATTTACTCAACTAGCGTGAATTTTAAGCAGATCGAAATATGTGGAATATTAGCATTATTTATTTTTGAGGTTGAAAAAGTGTTTTACAAGGAAATAATTTGTTGGTACAGGTAGGATAATTGAGAATATTGCATAGGGTGACGTGCACCGCAATACCATATACAGTACTATCGTATTTTCGTATCTCAATTTTCAAAAGAGAAGACTGGCAGTGCACTTCACGACGACTCTAATCATTGTACTGCACGCAGAACTATTCTACAGTCCCTTAAAACTTTGACAAAGTTGACCGGTACGGAGAATAATAAAGTAAAAACTGTATGATTGAGGTTTGTACAGAGGAGAGAGAAATAACAAAAATCACAAAATAATTAATTAAAAGGGAAAGTAACAAAGTTTTTTTGGGACGTCAAAAAAAGGAGAGAGTATTGCATAGTTTGCTTGTGCTATTTCACATCATTTACGTTTGTGGTTTGTAGTACCAATGTAGCAAAAAGTTAGTACAAAGTTTGTACTACATCTAATCTAATACACTAATAGTACATCCATCCCCAAAAATTTTGTGGTTTTATAAATTTGAACCATATTTTTAATTAGTACTCCCTCCGTCTCGGTCATTTCTTCCGGTTTTGATCGGTATCGCAAATTTAGGTAGTAAGAATAAAATGAAAATGTATGGTTGTAGTTGTGTAAGAAAAAAATGAATGAATGTGAACTACATATTTTTTCCAAAAGTGGAAGTTGGAAGAATTAATTGGGACGACACAAAAAGGAAAGTCGGAAGAAATGATCGGGACGGAGGGAGTATAATATTGACCCTGTTTGGATATCAACGGCTTAGGCCAAACCGCCGTTTATTTACAAATGGGAACCGCTGCTTTTTGCAGCGTTTTGGCTGAAACCGCCAAGAAACAAACAACCCCATTATGAAAATTATAAATTTTACACTTTTATTAAAGTAATTTTAATTTAACAAAGAACAATTTTACATAATTTTATATTATATATAATTTTCAATAAGAATATACAGTTAGTCAAATTTTTAAATACGACAATTTTTGAAAACTCGTTAAGATCGACTTGTTAGGTTATAAAATACACTTAATATTAAATAGATCATAACAGACTCAGACAAACCATTTCTAACCCAACTAGTTCCAATTAAATAATATCACTCTATTAATATATAATGCCATGAAATTTTTAGCCCACATGAAAACATACCTTTATTTGTAAAATTCTGTGGCGAAATTTTCAAATTATGAGCATATACTGTGTTCCCCTGAACAAAAGTTCTATATTTTTCCATACACATTGTCACATTTTCCGTCATTGACATGATTTATGGTTTCACACTTTAATTTCATACTGGTATTTAGGGAAATTAATTTATAGGTAAATATACTCCGTTGTACTTTTAGTTAAGAAAAACTTATATTTGTACACCTATTTATTTAATTCTAAAATTTTATTCTGGAGTATTTTATTCATCTTGAAAAATGTGTCCGTAGTGTATTTTTCTGAGTAATTTGATTGTCACTCCGTATCTATCAATCCGTTTGGTAACATTAAAATTGGCTAAATCGGTTGATTTTGTTGAAATTTATGAAGTTCTAGTTGAAGTGATTGGATTGGCAGATTCTGCTAAATTATGAAAAAAATTATATTTAAAATATATTTTATTAATAAAATAAAGAAAAAATTGTATGAAAAATAGCTAAATTGATCCTCTATAGTAACTTCAACCAATACAGCTAGAAAAGTAACTCCAACTTTACTCTTTCGTATTACTACGCATTACACAATTCAATGCGCGGAAAAATTGAATGATAAGCCTGATAAGCTAAAAATAAAATCACCAAACCGGCCCATATATCATAAACAATTTTTCATTATCCTTATTTTGATATATACACCAAAATAAAGGTCATATTTTTTAAAACATACGGAGTAATAGGAAATATCACAACTATTTTAGAGTTTTGTATTTAATGTTTACATGATTTGACATAAAATAATAATACAAATAATTATAAATTTAAGAAAACATTATCTTATAAATATGTATTGCTATGTTTAGGTTGAATAGAGATTTGATTAGGTGTGAGGGAGTTTTTTTTTTGAGAAAATTCCCTAAATAAGGGAAAGATTTCGTAATTCTTTTAACTCAGTTTACTCATCAAAATAGAACTCATATATTTCTATTTACGAAATTATTTTTCTCTTATTCCTGTAATAGGAGTAAATAAATTTAATTTTTGACAGAAAATACGTCTAATCTTATTTTTAAACTTTTTTTGTGTTAAAATTTACGGAAGAGCGAAAAATAAAGTACGTCTTTACTTGGGGTTTTGTGCGCTGTTTTTTCGACGTTTTGGTATCAAAGACAAAACCAATTATTTTTCGAATTCGTTGCTTTAGAGTTTTGGAGAGTAGCGCTGTTGGGATGGAGCGGTTGATTATGAAAAATGCGTGGTGTACACCAAATGTGTACATCTTTTGTGTACACATGTCTGTCCTCAGCAGACAAGTTGTCTGTCCACAGACAACTTATCTGCTGGGGACAGACATGTGTACACAAAAGGTGTACACCAAACAAATTTGGTTGATTATATAAGGATTGATTCTTATGTTTCTCCTCCAAGATTTTCTCTAAAAACATTTTTTAGAGAATGATAGTTAGTTATAATGATAGTATATCTGAAAAAAGTACTATTAGTGTTGTGGAGTATGATGTAATGATAAACATATCTAAAAAATATGTTTATCAATTAGTCAGAACTGATTATGTATAGTTAGTATTACTTTTCAGACTCCTATATAACATTTTTTAGATATACCTATATATAGGGATTATACTATTTTTTTCAGACTCCTAATAGTACTTTTTAGAGAAATAACTAACTATACATTTTTTTGTTAAGGGATTTCCACACTCCATTTTTTAGAGAATGATAGTATATACTATATAGGTATTAATTTTGTGGAGTGTGATGTAATGATATACGAAGTATATTTGTAATGAGTAATGATATCAATATAATTGTTGTAACAAAACTTTTCTTCTATTTCACTCCTGCTTTGAGCGATTTCTTATCGTATCATTTTTTTCTAGCGTTTAGGAATATTTATTCATTTTCCTAGACTATAAATACGAGGAAGCTCAACGCGTACTACCACCAGCCTTCATCTCTTCTGACTTTTCCCTCAAATCAAAGAAAGGAAAATCTTTCCTTATTTCCTCAGTTTCTCTGAATCAAATTCATCACCATGACTGAGGTAATCCATTCTATGGTAAAAATTACTCCGTACTACGTAGCAGATATGACTATTTACGGAGTACTTGATCTTCTTCGGGGTAAAAAGATTAGATTTATAGTTTTGAAGTTAATAGTTTTAATCCTTATGCAGAAACTTGAATGATATCTTTACCAAAATTGCTGTTATCTTTACATGAATGATATCAAATAGTGCATAGAATTGCGGAATTGGAGTGTCTTCAGACCGCGCGTATTTTTATTTCTTATTATTTCTCGTGATCTAGAGAGTAGAGAGGGTTTTTTAGTTTTACTAAAATTGATTGTTTACTTCTTGATATTCAGATGTATCAATAAAACTAAACTATTCAAAATTGAGATTCAAGTCTTATAAAGATTAATCTGGTATTGGGAGTATGAATTCGGATTTATTTTATTTTACTGAATCAAGTATGGTTTTAAAGTTAGTCATTCAATTTAAAATTTTATGGACCTCATGGAGTTCTATGATCCCATACCCCTTGGCAAAACAACTTTTCCTTGAGATTGTTCACAAAAACACTAGAGAGGCGCCAGAAGTCAAAGTTTTTCTTTATTTTTGTAATACAAAATCTAGAGGCTGATTGTTCGTTTCATTGAATTTGAACATCAGAATATGTATAGTTAGTTATATCTGAAAAAAGAATGGAGTGTGGAAATCCCTTAACAAAAAGGCTGTTTATGTGGCACGTGTTTTGGGACCTGGATAAACTTTCACAGATTCAGTACAAAATGACTGAAGAATTTGTTGAGCATGTTGCCTGAATATTTGACAATAAATCTTTGTCCGTGATGGCAGAGTGGGCTGACTGTTAATCTCAAGGTTACCATGTCATGTGGAGGCTGCGTTGGGGCTGTGAAAAGGGTTTTGAGTAAAATGGAAGGTATGTTACCCATGTTTTCTTCAATAGTATTCTGCATATTGTTTTTTTTATAGAAAAAATGCTTTCATTCTTGGTGGCATATAGACTGTGCTCTATCCTATTGTTGCTACTTGGTTTGTTGGTTAACTCGTGAACTGCAAAGGTGGTTGTATAAAAATTATTACTTTCACTTCTGCGTCCATGTTCCTTCACTTCCTTGTACATAGTTGGTATGTTGCAGATCTATGCTAGATGTGATATGATATATACTTATATGAACTCCATCTGTGGGATTAGTAGTCTTATTTTTTGATTTGCTTATGATCAGCGTGCTCTATCATTTTCTGAAAGATTTAATTGGCTGTAAAGTTTTGGTTCTTCGTTTCTTCAGTATGCAGTACATAGTACTTTTCGTGCAGTTTGTTTTTACCTCTCAAACTTTATATGAAGATCTGTGTTATTAGCATTGAAGTTTACACCCAGTTTTTGGTTTTCTATATAAAAGAAAATGATGGAAAACAGTTCGATAAAAAATGTTTTCTATAAATTATTTGCTGAAAACTGGAATTAAATTTCATGGAGAAATGTTTAAATGTTTGGCTTGTTAAAATACTCATCAAGTCTCCCCTCCAAAAAAATATATATCTTGGAATATCTTATTTAAATTCAAACTTAGACCAAGTTTAAACAGAGAATAAAAGCGTAAAAAATGAATGTGGTATTTGGTAAGGGAGTAGGGCAACCTTATGTTTTCACTCTGTTCAGATTTCAGTTTTTTGGTGGCTTAGCAGAGTTTGAGAACCGTTGAGTAGTGGTTTGCTTTGGGGCTGTATAAATGCTTGAACTGAAGTAGTCCTTTTGTCCCCCTAAAAACTCATATTTTGACTTGGGTAGTTGGCACATTGTTTAATAAAGTGAAAATTGTATAGTTGTAATTTCTAAAGAGAAACTATATCAACCACAAAATCTTTTTGGTTAAATGAGGAAGAGTGAATGAGAATATATTGGGCCGAGAGAGTAATGTTTTATCTATATACTATCTACCATGCCGATGGATCCAACTGGATGCCTTCACATACTCACATCGATGGACTATCTTCAGGTGTCGAGTCTTATCATATTGACGAAAAACTGCAAAAAGTGACTGTGAAAGTGAATAAAAGTGTGACAGCAGACGATGTAAAAAAAACTGTTTCAAAAACTGGAAAGAGAACCGAGTTTTGGGAAGAAGAGGCGTCTGCAGGACCTGATGCCAAGCCTTCTGAAGCTGATGCTTCATCTGACCAAGTTCAGCATGCTGCTTCAGAAGCTGCAAAGGGAAGTTCACCTCTTCCAGATAAGGGAGCTGTCGAACTGGATGCAAAACCTTCAGAAGATGTTGCCACTACTGTCGCGGCGACTTGAAACGTCTAAGACTTTCTTCTTTGCCTATACTTCAAGGCTTCCCTTTTATAATTACAGTATAAAATGAACTGTATAATAATTGATGTTTAACCACCAATATTGCTTTCTAGTTTTTTATGTGCTTTTTTAATGTTATGGTCACTTCTCTTATTATATGTACCATACTGCCTCGATGCCTTTATGGCTTTATGGATACTTAATCTTAGCATTGAGACCATTTTCAAGGATCTATGATTGCGAAAACCTTTTAGTTATCCCCAAGGTTGTCATGGCTGCTTGCAGAGACGCAGCGGTAGCAACCTGTCTTAATTTGCATTGATGAAATCATGGTTCAAACTTCTAAATGGGGAGAATACATGCCGTGAAAGTAAAATTATGAAGCAGTTTTAACATCTTCAATCAACTCCCAAATAAAGAATAGGGTAATTCTAAATATAGTCCCAACTTTACTTGATACAACCACGGTATATAATCCTAATTTAAATATTCCTAATTTAACCTTTTACAGCCCCTCGTCGTGAATATCTCGCTGACTCCTTCTCTGGGATCTATGCACATGCCTAAAATCAGTAAAACAACAAATTGAACCTCCTTGCTTCATTCTTCTAGGTATAAATGGGTATTCCATGAACTGAATGCACCTCAAATCTGTCATTAATGGTAAAAAAGCTCCAATTTTGCAGATGGGTTCAAAGTTGGACGAATTTTTCTGGTGATTGAGCAGAAACCGATGCTTTTGCAAGGAGAGGGCAGCTCCGCAGGGAGATAGCAGTTCGCGATTAAACGACAAAGAACTCCAAACTTAAACTTCAAGACTGAGTTTGGCTCTCCATCTTGTGCTAACTACCAAAGCATATTGATGCCCGAGGAGATGATAAAGCTCTATTCAAACATTGTTTAAATGGAGTTTATCTTTAGAACAATGAAAAATCAAATCTCCATCGTAATCTTATGTTCGGCCACTTCTAAACATAAAAGATTGCAAGGATAAAATAAGAATTCCAAGTAACCGGAGGCCGTGAACATATACTTACTTTTCTTTGAATGGAAGAAGCTTATATTGATATATGAATAACTCGCATATCAAAAACCAGACAAGCACCTCTAACTCGGTCACCAACCTTGGGATTGGACATAGAATTATTCATGCTACAAAAAGCACCATAATTCGCTAACTTAGAGCCTATAATGACCACAAGGAAGAACATGCTCCTCAAAACACCCACCACCTATCTCCAGAAAACAACCAAAGTACCATACATCAAAATGTCACGACTACGAAAAACAAAGGGAAAATGGAAACTTATAATACAACCTTTTAACGATCTTCTTACAATAATCCCAACTAATCGTAATTCAAGAATAATCCAACCTTTACACCCCATCTTCATTCGTTGATCCCTGACCGGTTGATGAAATGTTATTCCAGGTTATTTTCTTTTCTTTGCAAAATGTTAAGCCATAAATCCCACATATCACATATTTTCTCCAAACGGTCCCATGTATCATTTTTCTTTTTTCTCCCTAAAACATTTTCCTTTTTATTTTTATCGTCTTAACCCTTTTATCCCCCTTTTCGTCTTCTTATTCTTATTTTTATTTTTTCCATGTTTATGTATTCCATTTTTCCTTCTTTTTCTTCTTTCCATTTATTATTGCATTTTCATTTTTATATATTTTTTTCGGATTAGTTTCCTTTTTATAAAAGATCCTTTTCTCACGGTACTAACTTTTAATTACTCTACTTTCTTTTTACTTACACTTATTTATTTCCTTGTCCTGTTCTTACATTGATTTCACCACTAATATATTTTTGGGAAAATAGTCCCAAAGTAGGACTAAACTAATCGCTAAATGCACTAAATATGACTATGTTATTGATCTTCTCAAAATAGGACTATAGTACACTCTATCTTCTTATCCTACCCTTACCATATCTTAATAGGATAATCATATTTTACAGTATAATAAAAACGAAAAATAATAAAAAGTATTTCAATTTATAGAAATATAGTAAAATATATAAAAAAAGTAAAAGTATTTTAAAAAAATAATAAATAGTCATAAAAATAATTCAAAAAAAAACTTAAAAATAAATAAAAATAGATAAACACATTAAAAAATATAAAAAATTTGGAGGCCTTTACCGTAGCCTCGGCCACCTCCCAGCAATGCTCAACTCCAATCGGCGAAAAAAGGTCATTTTCGTAAACACCATAATTTTTTGAAAATGTCAAGATTTTCTCAAAAACTGCCATCAAGATAGCATTACTGACACATTTTGCCATATTTTTCCGGTGGTCGGAGGTAGTGGTGCTGAGAGTTTTTTTTTTACTTTTTTGTATTTTTTATTTTACGTTTTTGAGTTTTTAATTCTATAATTTTTATTTTTCTTATGTTTTAGTTTTATAATTTTAATTTATATTTATTTTCATGTTTTTCCCTACATTTTTATTATACATAAAGTTATGTTATTATTTTTGTTTTAATTATTAATGAAATATGAATGAAACTAAAACAAAGCAAAAGCAGAATTGGAAAGCTGTTTTATTTTGAAGTTATACTAATATACTTGCAATTAAAATTTTATTAAGTACCAATTGGAGTACATTGTTTCCCTCCTAAGGTGAAAACTACGAATTCGGATTTCATCCCAATCAAAGAGATTAACATTATCTTTGAACAAATACTATATAATAGGTTAGAAGTATTCTCCAAAAAAATTATACTAACAAATATAATAATCTTATTTTCACTAAATATATCTTCATTTGCATCAAGCATGTTGTTAGTGAAACAATGATGTCATTTTAGGGTATTGTCACTTGGATTGATTTTTATAGTCTAACGTTATTGATTTGATTAGTCCTGGTATGCTGCAGTAAAGGTCTTACACATGTGCATTTTAATATTTTGTATTATTTAAAGTCGGTTTGATTTGATTTATTTTAATACTTTTTTGTACACTTATTTTGTTTATGTGTACAAAAATTTGTTAAGTGGGTAATTGAATGTGAGCATGCGACCTATAAATGATTATATACACTCAAAACTTAGTAGCCAACAGCGGTTAATTTTAAAAATACTTAAACTCAAAATAATTAATCACGAAAACAATCTAATAACAATTGAACAAGACTATTAAAATCTATTATGAACTTTCATTCACACTATAGTTAGTACAACCCTAATCCATATATATACACAATGAAAAGACAAAAACATCATCTGTTATTAGTTGTGAGTCAAATAATAGATAATAATGTTATACAAATATAACTAAAAATAAACGGGGTGATCAAGGGACGAACATGTATACAACTATAACAGAATGTAACCTGTAAAAACAATAGAAATTGCTCTAAATAGGAGCAAAAATGTTTTGAAATTCCAAAATAAGAGTATAATGTTTTTTATTCCTTGAATAAGATTAATCTGCCAAATTTGGAAAAATATGACATGTTTTAAAGTCTAATAATGCCAAACATGGCAAAAATTTACTCATATTTTAGATTTTTTTTACTAGATTCACTTTAAAAGGAACTTAATGGCCGCAAAAACACTCCACCCCAAGAAAAATTCTAAAGGTACACACTTTTTTGTGTACACACTTTTTACACAGAAAGATGGAAGTAGACTTGTGCATCAACCTACACGTCCTGGGTTCAATCCCCATGGAGCCCAAGGTTTTTGAATATTTTCATTTGGAGTGCATGGTGTTTTGGAAACTTCACCCCCCTCCTCTCAAAATCTCTTTTCCCAGAGGCCACACCGAAAGATGATTCTTTCTTCCTTTAAACATTTTCTATTCCAACTTGATCTCCATCAATTTGTACAAGCTTAACACCAATCTCAATAGCCTAAAAAATTAATTAGTTTAGTTCATTGGCATTATTAGGTGAAAATTAGTCCAACTATTTTACATAGTTGTAAGGTTTTTTACCCCCCAAGTCCAACTCCCACCCCAATTTCCTCTGCGGCTGCTAAAGAGCTAAAGACAATGATCCTTCATTTGTCAGCACGCTGTTTGCCTTTCCAAATGCTTTTTCATCTGTTCAAAGTCCACCCGCAGATCATGCATCCAGTAACCTGCCTTTTGACAGTCCCTCTTGCCAGAATGGAGCTGAACGGCATTGAATCAATTTCCTTGCAATGCTCTCTTGGGTCTCTTCCCTTTTTATCAATCAATCGATGGAAAGTTGGAAACCACTCAAGTCCACCAATTACAACATCTTGTCATTGTAAAGTCATTGGGTATAACTTGGGTGTTTTGTGGTACATCCGTGCACACTTGCATTGTATTGTATTCTTACGTTCCAATTATGAGAATCCTTGCTTCCTACTTGTTAAATTAAAATGAGAGAGTTTTTCATTTGGATCACTGTATTACAATAATTAGCTTATACAGTTATACCCGCACTTCAGATGCTCGTTTGGAATTCAGATGATTGCTCGGATAGTGTTTGAGATTATGATTCACTGAATTTTAACATCCTTTTCTGGGATAGAAGGCACATAACATAAAAATAAACAATCAAAGGGTAATTATTTTCTACCTGCTACAAGGGAGTGAAGATGGATGCAGCTCTGGCTATGGACGATATGGCAATGAGGAACTGCAGTAGAAGGAACTTGACTTCTGTAAGTCTTATGGAGATGTTTGCTGCATCAGGAAGAGGCGTATTCCAGAGAACTGATGGGGAGAATGATAATGAGGAAGACTTGAGGTTGGCTGCTATCGAGAGACTTCCTACATATGATCGATTGAGGAAAGGGATCCTGAAGCGAACACTGGATGATGGAAGAGTTGTGCATCAAGAAGTTGATGTTCAAAATCTTGGGATGCATGACAAGAAGCTACTCTTGGAAAGTATTTTGAAAGTTGTGGAAGAGGACAATGAGAGGTTCCTTAGAAGACTCAGAGATAGGATTGATAGGTGAGGAAAAAAATCCATTCTTTCCCTGTATACACTACACTATCTTATAATTGGCTTAAATCATGATAATAATTGTTTCTTCATGAATAGGGTAGGAATTGATATTCCGAAAATCGAAGTGCGATATCAGGATCTATCCATTGAAGGAGATGCATATGCTGGATCTCGGGCATTGCCTACTTTGTTTAATGCCACCATAAATGTGATAGAGGTTATCCATTTATTTCAATGTAAATCCTGTTATGCTGGATTTGATTTTTCTAATTATTATATCTTGGTGGAGCTTCTAATTTTTGTTAACGGTAGAAGAACCTGTTTTCATTATTTTCAGAGTTTTCTAGAAAAGATAAGAGTTTTTCCATCCAAGAAAAGGGTAATCAAGATACTCTACGATGTGAATGGAATTATAAAACCTTCAAGGTATGTTCATAGAAAGCATTTGGCTAATGTGCGTTACTTATATGCATATGTTTCTACTCATGTGGATAACTATATGTGTTCCATATGGTAAGCATATCTCCTTTTCACTCTACAGGATGACACTACTTCTTGGGCCTCCTGGATCTGGGAGAACAACATTCTTGAAAGTACTAGCTGGAGTGTTGGACAAGGATCTCAGGGTACCAACCATCTTTATGAATTTTGGCATGAAATACTACTCTCATGTTTTTAAGGCACTAGTTCTTGATTTTTAATTTTTCTAAGGTTGAGGGTAAGATCACTTATTGCGGTCATGAGATGTCAGAAATAATTCCTCAACGTACCTGTGCTTATATCAGCCAGCACGACCTCCACCATGGAGAGATGACAGTGAGAGAGACATTCGACTTTGCCGTACGTGCTCTAGGTGTTGGAACTAGATACAAACTTCTCACAGAATTGTCAAGACGAGAAACTGATGCGGGAATTAAGCCTGATCCCGAGATAGATGCATTTATGAAAGCCACTGCTATAGCAGGCCAAGGATCCAGTTTGGTCACAGACTACGTGCTCAAGGTATCTTTCCAGTTACACACTTATACTCTATGATTAGAAAATGAAGAAATACTCTATGATTAGAAAATGAAGAAATTTTGTTAAACCGTTGAAGTTATTTATAGATACTTGGTTTGGAGGTATGTGCTGATATAGTGGTGGGTAATGAGATGATGAGGGGCATATCAGGGGGACAGAAGAAACGTGTTACCACAGGTGTGTTGCATGTGTAAATTTAGGTTACCGGATTAGCATTCAAGCTTTCTATATTTCACAGCTTCCTAACCTTTTGACTAGTCTACACTATTCCCATTTAACAGCCAGTAGATTGATGTGTTGATCTTTTTATCATGTCAAATTGTCAATGCAGGAGAAATGCTGGTTGGTCCTGCAAAAGTTTTTTTCATGGATGAAATATCTACAGGTCTTGACAGCTCCACCACATTCCAAATTGTCAAATACATGAGGCAAATGGTCCATATAATGGATGTGACGATGATAATATCGCTTCTCCAACCCACACCAGAAACATTTGAGCTTTTTGATGACATCATTTTGCTTTCAGAGGGACAAATTGTCTACCATGGTCCACGTGACAATGTTTTAGACTTTTTTGAGAGTGTGGGATTTAAATGTCCAGAAAGGAAAGGAGTTGCTAACTTTCTACAAGAAGTAACATCTCTCAAGGACCAAGAACAGTATTGGTTTAGAAAAAACGAACCTTATCAATATATTTCAGTCACTGAATTTGCAGACCGATTTAGGAACTTTCATGTTGGGCACAAACTATATGATGAGCTCTCAGTTCCTTATGACAAGAGTAGAACCCATCCTGCAGCACTAGAAACTAAGAATTATGGTATTTCCAATATGGAACTCTTCAAGGCATGCTTATCTAGGGAATGGCTGCTGATGAGGCGCAACTCTCTCCTGTACATATTCAAGACATTCCAGATTACTATAATGTCAATAATTGCTTTTACAGTGTTCTTTAGGACAAAGATGAAATCTGGGACAGTTGGAAATGGAGGAAAGTTTTATGGAGCTCTGTTTTTTAGTCTCCTCAACGTGATGTTTAATGGTACAGCAGAGCTTGCACTGACCATGTTCAGGCTTCCTGTTTTCTTCAAACAGAGGGATTCTTTATTTTTTCCTGCTTGGGCTTTTGCACTCCCAATTTGGCTAATGCGAATGCCCCTCTCATTTATGGAATCATTCATATGGGTTATTCTTACTTACTACACCATTGGCTTTGCTCCTGCTACTAGTAGGTATGCATTTAATACTAAAGATAAACCAAACGCTTTCATGCTCAGACAGTTAGTTTCCTTTTAAAACTTCAATATATTCATCTGATCGAGGCACACATAATACTGATTAATTAATTAATTAGAATAACTTATTTCTTGTGCTCAACCCTGCTTACCTTCTCTTGTCCAACACTGTGGGCTAGGTCCCCACCACACTGTTAAAATCATCATGATCTGATAAACTATAGACCATAGTAACATATCTCAATTAGCTAATGACTGTATAGAGACATCCAAACATAGTCTCTCTGTCCCATAAAACTTTACCAAATTTCTTTTTTAGCCATCCCAAAAAACTGTCATTTCCATTTGAAGTATTAAATGTAATGCTGAAGTTATTTCTCTTTCCTCTGCACAAATCTCAAGCATATAGTTTTTACTTTATCATGCTACGTGCAAGTCAACTTTGGCCAAGTTTTATTGGATGGAGGGAGTATTATAGTATTATACTGATGCACTTTGCATTTATTCAGGGTATTTCGCCAATTCCTGGCCTTCTTCTCCTTACATCAGATGGCTTTGTCCCTTTTCCGTCTTATGGTGGCACTTGGAAGAATAGAAGTGGTAGCAACCACTTTTGTTACTTTCACTTTGCTGGTAGTATTTGTGCTTGGTGGTTTTATTGTTGCTAAAGGTTAGTAGCATTTTGTCCTCATACAAGATTTCTTTTAGATAATATCTCAATTACACGATTTCTTTTTCCAAAAAATAATAATCATCTCTACCCTGGATTTAGATGACCTGGAACCATGGATGAAGTGGGGATATTACATGTCTCCTATGTCTTATGGCCAGAACGCGATAGCCATCAATGAATTTCTTGATAAAAGATGGAGCTCTGTAAGGTTTTATAATAGTTTGTGAAAATTAGTTATTCTTCTCATTTCAGAACCGATTTTCCCATCATTTATCAGTTTAACATGCGCTATTCTTGTGGGGTTTTCCAGCCCATTAATGATTCAAGGTTCCATGAGCATACGGTAGGCAAGCTGCTTCTTAAGTCAAGGGGAATGTATTTAGATGACTACATGTATTGGATATGCATCATAGCCCTCTTAGGCTTCTCAGTTCTCTTCAATGTTTGCTTTGTCATTGCACTAACATACTTGAACCGTATGATACTATATCTTTTTCTTATGTGGCAGTACCACCCTTCTAAAAATGAGTAATGTTTCACCAAGATATATTTTTCGGAAGTTGTAACGCTTAAAAGTGATTAGACTTAATTATATTTTTTAAATTTATTTGTTGGTTTAACAATATTTATGGTAATCATTTTTTTATAAAATACGGAGTAATAACTAAAATTACCCTTTTTGGAATAGAAGTAAACACACTGATTTAGATGTTTTCTTCTCAAACACAGCTATTGGAGGCTCCAAATCTATTATTTTGGATGATGAAGACAGTAATAATAAGACAAAAGGCCAATCAAACCCCTTTGGTGAAGCAGCAGCATACCAGGCTTCAACATCTACACCTCCAACCTCTGAAGGTGGGGGACATCAAGTCCTATAAGTATTATACCATTTTTCAATGGTCTAAGATCCTTTGGTATTCTAGAGAGATACATGCTAAAGTTTTAGAATTGTTGCCTAAACTATTAGTGCATAATCATCTCTTCAATGTCCTATTTTAGTGATTGCAGTAAGGCATTCTAAACAAAGCTCTAGGGTGGAACAAAATGCAGGGAAGATGAAGGGGATGGTGCTTCCTTTCCAACCGCTGTCTCTTGCATTCAACCATATCAATTACTATGTTGATATGCCAGCTGTAAGTACAGTTCTCAAATGCATTTCGGATTTTTGCCACTATATATTCAACATTGGCTTGACTTTTGAATTTGGACTTATGGAATATTCATCAGGAAATGCAAAAACAAGGAATCCAAGAGAGACGACTGCAATTGTTGAGAGATGTTAGTGGATCTTTCAGGCCAGGAGTTCTAACAGCATTGGTTGGTGTGAGTGGAGCTGGGAAGACTACTTTGATGGATGTCTTAGCAGGAAGAAAAACAGGTGGATATATCGAGGGATACATCAGCATTTCGGGTTTCCCCAAGAATCAATCAACTTTTGCTCGAATAAGCGGTTATTGTGAACAGAATGATATCCATTCTCCACATGTTACCGTATATGAATCTCTTATGTATTCTTCCTGGTTGCGTCTTTCTCCAGATGTGAACAAGCAAAAAAGAAAGGTACTGCCCAAATTGCCAATGTCTCAATGCAACTGTGCTTGTAGTTTACCACTTAGACACTGCTGAAGTAATGATCTTCATGTTTTCACGCAAAAGACTAGTTTTTCTCTCTGGGATTTCCTGCCAGTTTAAAGTAACCCTGTCTGCAGTATTTGCGCTTGGGGCGCCATAGCTCAGCTCAATGGTGAGCAACTACCAATGCCGTTGGGGAGTTATGCTGAGATAGTACACAGATTATTCTTCGCCAAATTGTAAATATCTAAGTCATTCTGAGGTTTTCCCATTGGCGGACGATCTAATGCTATTCCAGTTCGCAAGCTGCTGTATTTTTCTTATATGAACCTGTTGTTTTGATAGAGAGCAAGCAGGGGTGGCCGAAGAGCAGGCCGAGGCGGCCAAGGCAGACCCAAGCCCCCATGCCCTTGTTGAGCCCACTGTCCGTGGGCTGGCTTAGTTATTTTTATTAATTCCTTTAGTTATTTCCTTTTATTATGTTTCTTATTTTAATTATGTGTCCTAGTATGTTTTAATTAGGACTTCTATTCTTATTAGAATTATAGGTTTCCTATTTCTACTTATTTTCCTAGAATGGTTTAATTAGGACTTCTATTCTTATTAGAATTAGAGGTTTCCTATTCTATTTAGTTTCCTAGTATGGTTTAATTAGGATTCCTATTCTTATTAAGACTTAGAGGGTTATTTAAACCCCTAATGAGAGCTATTGGAATAATCAATTTATAATATTGGAGTTTTAGCTTTAAGCTTGGACAACGGTGTTATGGACAAGTTTTGGGGTCAAAAATATCAAAGGCGCAGCCGCTCAGGATAGGCCAAAGGGGTGATTGGGCCGAAGAAATTCAGCCTAATGAGACCACTGAAAGTGGCTGACTTTGGGAGCAAGTTCCTTCATTTACTTTACTGCTTTTTAATTCAGTTTAGCAAGTTTCTTAATTCAGTTTTAAGTAAATTTCTTAATTCAGTTTTAGTAAGTTTCCTAATTCTCTTTTAGGACTCTTGTAAGACCTATATATATGGCTCCTCAATTGTTTTAGAGGGATGTTTTTGGCAGAATTAATTATTGTGCCTTGACAAGGTCGGGCATCGAATTAATTCCAATAAAATCTTTTATTTTCGTTCTCTGTGCTCATCATAGATCCGAAAATTTATTCATCTCAGTACTTGAATTCACTTCCTTTGTCTCGTTCTCGACCTTGGACGAGATCGTGTACGCATGCTCTTAACAAACACTTGCTAACCGTTGATTATTTTATTTCTGCTCTCATCAACTGGTCCAACCCGCCGAATCCCGTCCCGCCAGAATGACGAGATCTCAAAACGATCGGTTGACAAAGATGGAGGTCGAGCAAGCCCTAATCAATCAGAAACTCGATGCGCAAGGACAGAAGTTAGAAAAGCATGGCGCCCAGCTCACAGAGATCGCGGCTTCTTTTACTCCGATCGCGAAGGCCATGGTACCTCCGGAGAAGACGCCAACATCGGCCAGCGACAGTGCCTCTTCCGCGCACGCCGCATCTGCGCACTCAATCGACGGAGGATTGCACGGCGGCGAAGACCCGATTGGGTGGTTGGCTAGGGTTGAACAACAGTTTGAACTTAATGGAACCCTACCGGACAGAAAATTGGCAGTGGCTGTGGTTGCCATGGAAGGGGCTGCCCTCTATTGGGTAACCTGGCTAAGAGCACGCAAAATCGGCATGACTTGGGAGGAATTTAGGCGAGCTTTGGTAGTCAGATTCGACTCCCGATTTAAGAGGAACAAGTTTGAACGGATGTCCATCGCCAAACACATTGGATCGGGGGAAGACTACAATACCCTGTTTGTTCAATTGGCCAACCAAGTTCCGGGATTGTCAAATGATCATTATTTGGGATACTACATGAATGGACTAAAAGAATCAATCCGAAGCTCGCTGCGCTTATTTTCGACTGGATAACTTGGAAGAGGCCATGGAATTAGCTGGAGCTGTGGAGTACAATATGTCCGTTTAGAGTGGAGGAAGAGGCGTTCCAATGACTGGGCACATTGGGAGAAGTGCGAACCAACTGGAAGAACTTAACCATGCGGTTCAAGCTTGATGGTAGGTAGATATAACTGAGAGGCGATCCAACAATGTGTAGAAACGCGGTCAGCTTGCGCACACTACTAAAGACCTCAGATATAGAGTTCTGTGTCGTGGTCCTAGTCGGTGAACCCGCTAAACTTTCTGGGGCAGCCTCGGGAACAGTAGAAGACATCCTCGAGCAGCATACCAAGGTATTCGAGGAGCTGTGAGGGCTGCCACCTCGTCACGCGATGGACCACCGCATCGAGCTAGTTCACGGAACGAAGCCCATTTCAATTCGGCCATATCGGTACGGCCATTTGCAGAAGGACGAGATCGAGACTGGTAGACGAGATGCTTCAGGCTGACATCATTCAACCAAATTCTAGCCCATTTTGGAGCCCAGTTTTGTTGGTCAAAAAGAAAGGTGATAGCTTGATAGAACACTGGTATTTGATTCACAGAACAATACCGAATCCAATAGCAAAAGTAGATGACAGATAGAAAACAGTTTATTGAGAAGAGAATGTCGTAAAAGGTGTACAGGGGGTGGGACAGTACGAGATGCCCAATCTCTAAGCTACCAGCCAATAACAAAATAACAGCCTGCCTTATTTAGTTCTCCCCTTACTATGTATAGCTAATTATCCACGCAGGGACAAACCGAACTAGCTATTAGTTAGTTAAGTAACAATGACTACTTATTTCTCCTATTGAAATATTTAATAGGCTGTTGCTGCACCACATGCCTATCATTACTCACCCCCTGAAATTTCACCTTGTCCTCAAGGTGAAGGTCTGGAAACTGTTCTGTCAATGATTGCAATAATTCCCAAGAATCTTCAAACTGAGGCAAGTCCTTCCAGTGTACCAGGACCTCCATCTTTCCCTCCTTGTTAACCCTTGATTCCAACACTTCTTCAGGTATAACCTGTAACTCCCATTCTTCACTCAAACATTTAGGTAGGGGCTGAAATGCAGTTGTAGAAGATATAGCCTTCTTCAAAAGTGAAACATGAAACACTGGGTGCACTTTGATGTCTTCTGGCAGTTTCAGTTTAAAGGCTACAGGACTTAATTTTCCAATTATCTCAAATGGGCCATAGTATCTAGGGCTTAATTTCTGGTTGATTCTTCTGGCCAGACTCCTGAGCTTGTAAGGTTGGATTTTCAAATAAACCATGTCCCCCACTGCCAACAACACTTCTCTCCTATGCTTGTTGGCCTGCTGCTTCATCTGATTTTGAGCTATTTCCAGATTTTCTTTCAATTCTTTGAGCATTAAGTTTCTCTGGGCAGTCATTCTGGAAACTTCTTCCACCGCTGTAAGATTAGCATCCCCTCTAATCACAGTAGGAGGATCCTGACCATAAAGAGCCTTGTAAGGTGTCATTTTCAGTGTTGTATGATAATTTGTATTGTACCAGAATTCTGCCCAAGCTAACCAATTAACCCATTGCTTGGGTCTCTTTCCAGTAATACACCTCAAATGAGTTTCTAGGCACCTGTTGACTACTTCAGTTTGACCATCCGTTTGAGGATGATAGGCTGTGCTGTATTTAAGTTGAGTCCCAGCTAGTTTGAAGAGTTCAGACCAAAAAGTACTCAGAAATATGCTATCTCTGTCACTCACAATCGTTTTAGGGAATCCATGCAACTTGACTATCTCCCGGGTAAACAATTCAGCCACTACTTTAGCATTAAAGGGGTGAGATAAAGCTAAGAAGTGAGCTGATTTTGTCAATCTATCCACAATGACCATGATTGTATCCTTTCCATGTGATTTTGGCAAACCTCCCACAAAATCCATGGAAATGTCAGTCCAAATATTCTGAGGAATAGGCAGGGGTTTTAATAACCCGGCTGGTTTTAAAGCTTGGTATTTGTTTGTTTGACATGTAGGACACTCATCAACATACTTCTTTATGTCCTTCCTCATACCATGCCAATAAAACAAATTAGATATCCTCTTCATAGTCCTGAAATAGCCAGAATGACCCCCCATTGCAGAATCATGATACTCCTTCATGATTTTGGTAACTCTAGGAGATTTACTAGGTAAAACTAGCCTCCCCTTGTAGTATAGCAACCCTTTAATATTCTGAAACGCCTGATACTGATCTGGTTGTGATATGATATGCTGAAGTAATGATTGACATTTAGGATCTGTAAGCAGTTCTTCTTCTAGCCCTTCCCATTCCTGACAAGTGACTATGGACAATGCATTGAAGGATGGTCTTCTGGATAATGAATCTGCAGTTGTATTTTCCAATCCAGGTTTATATTTGATAGTAAAATTATAACCCAGTAACTTGGAAGTCCATTTTTGTTGTTCTTCACCCATCAGTCTTTGTTCTGTCAAAAATCTTAAGCTCTTTTGATCTGTATGAACTTCAAAAGTTCTCCCCAACAAATAGGGTCTCCATTTTTGGACTGCCAGAACAATAGCCATTAATTCCCTCTCATGAACAGATCTGTTCTGATTCCTTTTAGACAATTCTTTGCTCATGTATGTAATAGGCCTGCCATTTTGCATCAAAACAGCCCCCAAACCTGTCCCCGAAGCATCAGTTTCTAATATGAACATCTTGTTGAAATCTGGGACTGCCAGAACTGGTAAGGTGGTCATTCTTCTTTTCAATTCTTCAAAGGCCTTGGTAGCATCTGCCCCCCATTGAAAACTGTTCTTCTTCAACAGCTGAGTCAAAGGTAAAACAATCTTGCTATACCCTTGTACAAATCTTCTGTAATAGCCAGTGAGTCCCAAAAATCCCCTTAGTCCCTTTAAATCCTTGGGTTCTGGCCATAGAACCATGGCTTCTATCTTGGTAGGATCTGCAACAACTCCACTACCAGATATGATATGACCCAAATAGACCAGCTCTGATTGCCCAAAGGAACATTTTTTTGGATTTATAACTAGCTGGTTCTCCTTCA